AATGTTCAGTGAGAGTTATTAATTGTTACAATTATTGACAACTACATACATTATCGTTTGCTATGTTATATGAGAGTCAAACTAATTTGCAAAATAATTTCATTAAAAATATTTCTATTGTAATTTTAATACAATTTTAGAGTTCATATTTCACACAACCTCTTATCATAATTTGTTGACAGATTTCTATTGAATAATTTGGTGAAATAACTTTTTTATTCAATTGATTAGTTATGGGAAAAGTAAATATGATTTTAAACTTAAGTCTCATATTTATGAAATAACAATAATTTAAGTCACTTAATAAATGAAATGATAACTTTTGCCGCTTTAATTACATATAAAATAAAATAATTTTTGTTTATTACGTACAGACCTTGAGGTACCACAAAAAATCTATTATGAAAAAAGCAATTTATTTATTTTGTGGTTTACCGTATTATAAAGCGAAATAAAAAAATAATTATCTTAATCCACATTTAGATCTATTATCATTTCCAGAATTATATAATGTAAACGAGTTTTTAATATGAAATAATTTTCTCAATTAAAAAATATTTGAGACCAACATTTAGAAAACATTTTATTCTTGATGTCAACAGTTTTAATTCAGTTTTTGAAAAAGTTTTTTAAATTTCTAATAAATATGAAATTACTACTTGTGTTGTGTATATTTTTAATTGTATGTGTAGTTGTGAGGGCCGGCTATAAACATAGCTACGGGTCTGGCCATGGAGGTGGTCACGGAATCTATGGATACCCAGGTTAAATTCTCTATTAATTGTTTTACTAACAGTAATAATTTATTTACAATTTAGTGGGTCGCAAATGGGGGTATTCAACGGACATACATCACCCAAAACTCAAACCTAAACCCAAACACTATGGATATGATAACCATTATGGAAGTGGACAGGGATTTGGAAACTATTTTGGATACGGCTATCCAGGGTTTAATCATGGATTTGGTCAAAACCCTTACGGGTATGGATTAGACAGTAGTCGGAGCTACGGCTTTGGTTCACCCGGACAGCCATATGGGGAACAGAGACATAAGAATCACAATTATGGCGATCAGGGCGGGCGTGGAGGGCGTGGGGCTCATAGCAAGACATATAATAATGGATTCGGACATTTCGATGGACTGGACTTTCTCGGGAAGTAATATTACATATTTTAAATATTATACTACATTTATATTTTACTTATTGTAATGCAACTATTAAATTAATTTCATATAATTATTTTATTTTTTCTCATTTTTCAGTGACTTTCCAAACACTTTCTTACAACTAATGCCACAATTTATGCAATATTAATTTCACAAATTTCCCAATACTAATCAACTATCTAAAACTGTACTCTACATCGCTGTTGTTTGAATAAATTATTATATATTTTAATATAAATTTTAGTTAATATTTTGTGAAACTTTTGTAAATAAATTACAATAAATTACAGTACATGAAACTATTTATAAATTGTTTGTATTTAAAATTTTAATATTAATATTTAATAAAATTAGTATAATACTGTACTAACTATTATTATTGATTATATGAATTTATTATAACACTTGTATCATATTCATTTTAAAATTCAAAAAACTAAAGTATTATTTAATATTTCTTAACAAAACCTTTTATTAAAAAAGTTTGCAAACTGTTCAGACATTAAATTATGTGTCGGGTTTTGAAATAAATACTACAGTAAATTTTCTTATAACACATTTATCTAAAAATTTATAAATAAATAATATACTATAAAATATAATAATGATTTATGTGGATGAAAATAATTTTATTAAAATTTTGCTTAAATATTTACATCAAAAATTACAATTTCATTTGATTGATAAAAGAAATACAAATAAAATTTTAAAAAACAATTAATAGAATGAAATCTCAAATAAAACAAAATAATAATACAAATAATATAAACCGGACTCTGTTAACATAATCTTAACATTTTGTTGAATATATCATGCAATCAATGAAAAATGAGGTATTTTTATGTATATTTTCTTATATCAATGCTATAATATAGTAGTAGTAAATGTTGAAAAGTTTATGTTATAAAGAAAACTAATACAAGTTATTAGACTTTGATTAATATCTGAATACCACTCCAAACATAATATTATATTAAAAATTAAAAATATAATTAAAATGCGATGAAATAATTTACAAAACATGCCATAAATATGAATTAAATTAGAAATAGTTTCCCAAAAAGCTTCCACTGCCATAACCGCCATAACCTCCATAACCACCTCGTGAGCCACGTCCATAACCACCATAACCGCCATAACCACGATTACCGCCATAACCCCTTCCATATCCTCCGTTCCCACCATAACCACCATATCCTCCGTTCCCACCATAACCACCATATCCTCCGTGTCCACCATAACCGTGTCCTCCATTGTCGTATCGGTAAGTGTGACTTCTTCCTCCTAAGCCGTGCCCATAACCTCCATGTCCACCATATCCTTGTCCATACCCTCCATATCCACCTCCGTATCCACCATGCCCTCCATAACCTCCATGTCCATAATGACTCGGGTGTTTAACATGTGATGAATATGCCCATTTGCGACCAACTTTTATAAATTAAAAATATAGATTGTATATTAATACAATTATAAAAAGTAACATACCCGGGTAACCATAAATTCCATGTCCATATCCATTACCGTGGCCATAGTTGTTTCCATCGGTGGCCAAAACAATGGCACATAAAAGTGATACAATACTTAAGATTAAAGTAGTTTTCATTTTTCGCACACAAATTAAACTTAAGATTTATAATAAAGTTTTTTGTTTTTACAAAACTTGTTATATAATAGACACAAAATTGTGAGCCTTTTTATACACAAACAAAAAATTATATAATTTTTAAAAGTCAAGGTCTGGGAAAGGCTTTATCTTTCACACCGTTTTCAATAACTTTTATTTTTGTTGTAATTAAACAATAATTGTTTTGTGAAACAAAAACTATTTTGTTCGCTAATTAAGCGGTGATTTGTAAAACCCCTATAATTATAGCACATTTGCATGTTAAATGAATGTGCAAATTATCGACAACTAATTTTTATTCAATACTTTAATGTTTTAAAATTCCGTTTGCATTTGAAATATCAATAAAAAATATTAATATTAAAGTCTTGCATCCGTATAAACTATTGAACTTTATTTATATGATTTGAATTTTTAAAATATTCTCAATTCATTTATTAGCCGTTAATTGCAATTGTTGATAGAAATCAGACACAAACTTATAAGTTCAAGATCTGTTTATGAAAATCATTTAAACCAAATACAGTACAAAGCAAACTCTTAATGGTTGGCCACTAAATTTGCCACTGAATTGGCCATATACACTGTATACAGTATAGTTGTAAAGTATAACATTGCGTAACTTGTAAACACANCACACAAATTAAACTTAAGATTTATAATAAAGTTTTTTGTTTTTACAAAACTTGTTATATAATAGACACAAAATTGTGAGCCTTTTTATACACAAACAAAAAATTATATAATTTTTAAAAGTCAAGGTCTGGGAAAGGCTTTATCTTTCACACCGTTTTCAATAACTTTTATTTTTGTTGTAATTAAACAATAATTGTTTTGTGAAACAAAAACTATTTTGTTCGCTAATTAAGCGGTGATTTGTAAAACCCCTATAATTATAGCACATTTGCATGTTAAATGAATGTGCAAATTATCGACAACTAATTTTTATTCAATACTTTAATGTTTTAAAATTCCGTTTGCATTTGAAATATCAATAAAAAATATTAATATTAAAGTCTTGCATCCGTATAAACTATTGAACTTTATTTATATGATTTGAATTTTTAAAATATTCTCAATTCATTTATTAGCCGTTAATTGCAATTGTTGATAGAAATCAGACACAAACTTATAAGTTCAAGATCTGTTTATGAAAATCATTTAAACCAAATACAGTACAAAGCAAACTCTTAATGGTTGGCCACTGAATTGGCCATATACTGTATAGTTGTACAGTATAACATTGTATAACTTGTAAACACACTTATTATGATTAATTGTATTGATGAAAATAACATTAAATGTTTAACAAGTATATACAGTTGGTCTCAAAATAGAGTAGCCTGGTTATTCTAAGAAAAACATATGAAGACAATTTTTGATTTCATTCATATTTATATAAGAAATCAGGAATTTTGTGATAAATCGTATGAAATGACATTTATTTGGTTGTGACCTCGGTGTCAAAGGTTATGGCCAAAAAACAGTTACCGAGGTTACACTGTACATATGAAAAATATAACATTTTCAAATAATTTGTAAATTCATAAATGTTTTGACGTATTTCTGGAATTTGCATGATAAATCATGGATCACTAGGCTTTAACCGTACGAATATATGATATATATTTTTTAACGGTTATTAAGACATTTGTCTTAAAATATCTAGTGATCCATGATTTATCAAGCAAATTCCAGAAACACGTCCTTAAGTCCTCAAGAGTAGGCATGTTTTAAGTACTCTAGTCAGATAACTATTTGTGATATTGAATGGAGTTTATCGGCTTATAAATTAATTTTAAGTGGTAGGCGACTCAATATGAGTGAACAATACTTCTCTAAATATCTTTTTGATAGTTATAACTCGAAAAAATAATATTTTGTATGACTTTGAGGACAAATAAATAACTTTTGAGTAACTATTTGACACTTTTTTTATTATGGTAACTTTTTTATTGACTATCAAGGGGCTTTTACCACCTTTGGATCCAGTCTTTAATTATGAAGTTTAGGGCTATTATAGGCACCCATATAATCAGTGTAAAGTTTTTAATTTGCTTAATTTGTCTCTTGAATTTAAGATTCATTGTATTCACAACAACTTGATTGAACAGAAAGGCGTTTATTAATTAAGAAATTGATTGTCAATTAATACATTATTAAAAATATTGTCATAAATAAATTTCAAAAACAAACACTTTGTGACCTAATAGTGGAAGCGATTACAGCATTCGTGAATTGCATTCAATTTTAAACAGCATTTCTTGTTTACAATTAAAATAAATTAATTTATATTTTATATTAAAAATTAATTAAATGTCAATAAAAACACATTTTAAGCCATTTATTGCCACCAATTGTTGAACCAATAATAGACTGGTCGTAAGAATTGCATCAAATCTTGGAGTTTCTGAGTTTGAGATTCTTGAGGAAGTCATCCAATTCCTCCTCGTATTCACTCTTATGGTCTCTATAGTGAAGCACATGAGTAGATGTGTCCCAACACTTGTGGCGCACCCGATGTCCTAATTTAGACCAATTCTCCATCACTTTCTCATTGGCCGTAACACTACTGACCACATCGTCCTTCGAGTAGAAAAATAGACCTAAAAATCAATTCATAAAACAATTATTACTTCACAACAAAACACTAATCAATAGTTTTTGTATCAATAATGACCGGAATATTTGACGACCGGATTAAAGATCATATGCGACGCCGTGTCGTAGTATTTGACGGAAATGTGTTTAAATAGCTTAAGAAACACATTAATGGATGACTGGAGCACCGGCTGCACCACCGGATTCAATGTGATGGCCCGCGACAGACCCGGCGCGCAGTCCTCTGTGAATACCATGGAGTCGATGACAATGCCTTTGATTGAGCGCAAGATGTGATCGTTTTGTCCACTTTTGGTCAACTCATTCAAAGTGAGTCCAAACTGATAGCCGCCCACAGAGAAGGCGTGAACCACTATCTCGTTGTATTGGGCGTACAGTTGGGACAGACTTTGCACCAAATTCTGGGCCACCACTTGACCGCCGAGTGGAGGCATCAGCAGATCAAACGGCGATGTCTTGACGGTGAGCACATCGAAACCCCTTTTGTGCCACAATTGCCGGTATTTCTCGACGTGTTTGTCCTTCGCCAACATCCACGAGAAGATGACAGTCAGTGGTCGTCGTGTGGATGTCATGGACAGGGACTGGTCGGCGAACCCCGTGTTCAACACTGCTATCGAAGCGCTGGGCGAACAGTGCCTTAAACTGATGTTCTTCGGCAAAATAATCTGATTCTTGGACTGTATTTTGGTGGCGCCATATGTAGGGGTCAGTTGGGTCTGTGGTTAGACATCAGTTAATTAATTGTCAAACAAATGATATGAATAAGAGATTAGGAAATAAGTTTCACAACAAAAAAGTTCACTAAAGTTTTGTTACACTCATTATAAACCACTTAATCACAGATTTTGTCGCATATTGTCATATAATGTGGAAAATGTTAAAAAATATAAAAATAAAAACTAGAAACTATGTAATTTAATGGGTTTATACATTCAATTAACTTTTCCCTGCTATCTATCAAATTAATAATCATATAAAACATATTTCTAGTGAAAAAACTTTTTCTAATGATAGTGTGTAGTGATTGCTAAAAGTGTGTGTAATTTCATTATAATAACTGATTCATCATAAATAGCATTAATAAACAT